TTTTGGACACTTACAATTTCCTAACCCAAAAATAGAAATTCATTTTCAGATTTCTATATTTGACACTAAACATACAATTGAATGGATGAAACGTTATGATTGAATCACATTGTAATGTTTTTTTTATGAAATTATATTGTAAATAATTCCGCGAAGTTTATTGATTGTACTAAGTCTAATAATAACAACGTTTAATGAAATAGGCATAAAAAGTAAAGCCCTTTGTAACGGCTATTGACAATAGGTTTTTCTACCCTGTATTAAGTGCATTAATACCTCGAATAGTGCGGGTAATAGGAACTTATTACCCGCACTGTTTGAAACTGGACATTAAAACTACACAAAAAGATAGAAACAATCATCATATTGTTTTGTATAGTACTATTTTTATTTTACTCGATTTAATTGATCAAATAGGATTATAATGAATCCGGACTAAACAAAACCGCACTGTGAGAGGTTAATTTATAATATAAATCATACATTGTACAGCATTAAATACTTTACGCTTTTGGCCTCGTTTTTTGGTTTAAAACCTTATTGATTTGAAATACAGGCAGAGATTACGTGAGAAAAAAAGGAACTGATGCGAACGTTGTTATTCTTGTCAACAGATTTAATTGGATGTGTCTGCAGAATTGTTCTAGAAATACTCACGAACATAGAGTGATGAATTGAAACAGCGAGAGAAAGCTTTAGAGGAATAATATATTGTAACTGAAATTCATGATGATCCTTATTTCTTTCTTAATTTCCTTTCACGAAAAATTTCGACACACAAAAACTCAATAGAAATGATCGAACTACAAGATTTTAATGTTGAAGGAAATACGAAAGTTTTTAAATTCCAATATTACTATAAAAGTATTTATTTGCATAAAGATTCTGTGATTAATTAAATAACTGCTATAAGATCAAGATATTAGTTAAATTTGTGATATTTAAACAATTAGGATTAGGATTAAATAACTTTCATATTCTATTATTTATAGGTATTCACATACCTATATGAGAATATAATCTTAGATTACGGAACAATGATGGGAATTAATTAATTAATATAAGGAAATGAGTGTATTATATTTATGATTTAAAAAGGAATTACTTTCCAATCATACAATTAAAACAAATTATTTTGATTATGTTTTTGAAATTCACAAATTATGTATTTTTCAACATATTTAAAGAAAAATACAGATGTTTAGAGAGTAATCTAAATACAGCACTTTCTAACTAACTTTGTACAAGAAAAATAAGTTAAATTTGTATATTTTATTATTAGTATATGTATTTGACACAAAAAGATATTGATACACAAATATTGTCCAATTACTTTGTAAATGTATGTATACGTATGTAGATCATTAAAATTATTATCATCAATGCCCTAGTTCTGTATCGGCAAAACTTTAAATAATAATATTTAAAGTATATTCCAAAATTTATGAATTTGTTAGAAGGTTTTGCCCCGAACTGATTATTGATCACAAGAAATGGGTCAATAATGTTTGTGGTTCTAATATTTAATACATTAGAAACTAGAGTTCCATTTGGACTATGTAGTACACGTTGTGCAACATTCGTAAATCAAACACCAATAACATTACCTCGAATTGAGGATTATAAAACCGTACTATAGTGAATCCGTACTGAATTCTAAATATTTTACCATTTCTATTAATTATAGAAAATATGCGCTTTCACGCCGTATTTAATAATAGATTTTTGAGTCTGAAACTGAAACGCAGGCATAATCAATAATCTAAAAATAAATACGTCTGGTTTTTGAACGTCGCTCATAATTCACAAGACATTTTGCGTGCGTTTAATAGTTAAATTGCTTAGCGGAAAAGTCGTTCCTAACGATTTGTGACTGAGAGCAAAATGAAACATATTACACTTACAGAATTTAACTACTACTAATTATGATACTTGCACTATCTTATTAACAAAAAGAATCGTTGTTTTATAATTATAAATAAGTAATTGATTATTTGAAAAACTTTAAATTTTTGTATGATTTTACATAAATAACATATTAACTAAAAATCTATATTTTGAAATATATCAAGTAAATAGAGATGTTTTAGTATATTTTTGAAGAGAGTTATACTAAATTATTCTTAAATTTCAAATGCAGAATTCTATTTAAATATTATATTAGATCCTTTAAAACGTGAAATTTATCTAGAACACCAAGGTATATACATAAAATATCCAGTGTAAATAAGTCGAAAACACTTTCAAATACTATTTTATATACCCAATCACTTACACTGAAACTATCATTAGAATATAAAGTATCTAGTAAAATATGTTTTGGGAAGAAAGATCTTAAGATGATTGGTTTATATAATTTACATATAAAGCAATACCTCGCATAGTACGGGACTGTTTTAAACCGGATTAATCGATCATTTTAAACCCCATTAAAGAAAATGAGACTTGATATAGCAATCAAAAACCGATTATGTGTTCATTTTTTTTTAATTTTTTTTTATTTCGTGAATCCGGACTAATCGAAGCCGCACAATGTTGCTTATTGTTGTGTTTCATTAAAAATTAAGTGAATATAAATATTTGATCAAATGATTTGTTTTGTTGAACATTGGAAACAAGAAACCTGACAGGAAACAATAAATATATAAAGAAGCAATTGATACGTATTTATATAACGACTTGGCTTCCGTGTTTCGAAGAAATCGCCGAAGAAAATTAAGGTTAAGTACTTTTCAAATCAGCAACACACCTGTTGTAACTTCTTTTCAAATCAATTGAACGGCTTCAGCGTCCGTTTCCCTCTTTACGTTATTTCTTTCAGTCTACATGACAAAATCCTATTGTTAACAGACTTAGTTTTTTTATTTTTGCAACTAAATGTATACGATAAAAATAAAGTATGCGATAATATGATTTAACGCCCGTTTGATACATCAAATGCACCATTGTTACCACACCCATTCGAACGTAATCAGTCTCTGTGTTTTATTGCCATCGTACAATAGTAATCTGGGTCAATAGTATAGACACAAAAAATATATATATTTGTAGAATATAGGTGGCCACCTACACTATGGAAAGCTACTCATGCGTTCCAAATAATAAAAAACAAGAGAGAGAATGACCCAGGTCTAAGCCCAACCGATCGAAATGAACGATTCCATTCCAACTGAATTGATTCGGAATATGGGATTTATTGAAATATAGAAATATGTAGTTTCCATTTATTTACTGATTGCTTTCAAATGTACCAACATTTGTTGCAATTCCAATTTTATTTGTATTTACATCAATTTTTCAAATGTAAACTGAAAACATTAGTAAACATTCAATATTTACATTAAACCACGCCAGTTTTCAATCAGAATGTTAATGAAATAGGATAGAAAAAACCATGTATATTTGCAATAAACGCAATTAATTACAAAAGTTATTCAGTTTTGTTTGTTCGAATTCAAAAAAATAACTAGTTTTCCTTTGATTGAAAGGATTTTTATTTCTGAATTAACAAAAAATATATTAAAAGTTGTGCAATTTGTCGAAAAAAACAAGTTTAGAAAGTATAAAAACTGAAATATAATTACTTGTATTGCATTGATAGCTTAAGAAAGTTAAACAGTGTGTGTCAATGATATTACTTGGATCGGTGATTAGAATGGTATTTCAGTTTGATAAATTGAGAAAAAACTTTTTTAAATTTATTAATGTTTTGATTATTTATTTATCTTCAATTAATAACATTAAAGTAATATTACCATGTTATTTATAAAATAAACACTTTTTATGTATAGAATGTTCGAACGGAAGCATTTCCTGCCTGTGGTTAAATTGTTTTGTTTGGAATACTTGTATAAGATATTCCAGCTTTTTAAACTTTAAATGACTTCGATAATTGTGAATGATTTGTAAACATCCATCCATTATTATCTTGAGCGTTGAAAGTTCCGTCCAGGAATTTTCAAATAGACATCTGGCAGTGGTTGTAATAGTAGTAGTAGTGGTGGTCGTCCGTGCAAGTGCAGGCACATCGTTTGAAGTTAAAAGTAACGGTAAATATTCAAAGTGTACGGCTATGACCCCAACAAAACTAGAAAAATGCTCATCGTTCCATTCTCTCTTTCCCTCCAATTCAAACATCTTTGTTGAAGATTACTTATTTGCTAGTCAAATCCAAAAGATGGCAATTTATTAAACGATTTGTATATTAAACAAAAATTTATGAAACTTTAAAAAATTACTGAATAAATAAAAAGAAAATGTTTCTTTAAATTTAACTTAAATCATTACAAATTACAGAACATGATTAAAAAATAACTGTATAAAACAATTCACAGCAATTTGAACTTATTAATAACTTAATTAGATAGTAATAATAACAAAATGTATTGTTATAATTGTACAATTACTTAAATTATTACAGACGTACAAAGGTATGAAATAAAAACGACATGAATCATTGCAATGGACTGTACGTCTTTCCGTTTTTTTTTAAAGGAAATAAATCAAGTATTTCTTTACTTAATATTTAGGATCATAAAATATGTAATATTGTTTGCAATTTTTGGTGAAAAAATGTGTTTTGAAATTGATAATTTATCGATACTTTCAGAAAATTAAGTAAATAAAGAAAGTGTAATAAAAATTCCTTAAGAGAGAATTTCGTTGAAGTTGAAGGTCGATATGTAGAATCAATCGGTAGGTGATTCATTGTTGTCTTTAAAATGCTATACTCGTTTATGCGTAAGTACGTAAAGCTCATTTATTTCCAATTTTAATCTATGATGATTATAAATCAATAAATATTGTTTCTAGAATTCTTTAAATAATAGATTCGTTTATAATTCAGATGTAAATTTTATAAAATTGTTTGTTTTTCAGTAAATAGGACTAATAGTCTGTAGATTAGTAGTCTGCAGTAGCTACAAGTTGGTAAATTGAGTTAAATACCAAAGGAAGAGTTTGCGCAGTTTTGCAGGATTTCGATGTTGTTGTAGACTCACCAGAACTGCTATCGAAGTAACCCCAGATGGGCAAACCAACGGCGGTAGCACCCACGATGAAGCAAACGAATCCCAAAATGGCAACACATGTCGAATACAAGGGCTTGTTGTTATCCGCCATATCCGCGCGCACTTTTAAACGATCATTTCACCATTTGAAGAGAAAAGAAACGAACGAAAAAATAAAACTATTGCAGGAAAAATAGCGAGCGCTAAGGAGGATTACATTATTCGAAATTAATAGATGAAATAATAATGAAACAAATTATAAAAGAAATGTTAGTCCGAACACTGAGGCACAGTTTCTGAAGGTGTATGTGGACTGATGGAATCAATAAGGAGGATTCGACGTTTGATTAGTGTTGTTGCACAGGTGAATTCGATTTTCGCGCTGCACCGACACACGTAGTAGAGCCGCGTTAGTTACCGCACCCATGACATCCTAGCGTTTGTGGTGGCAACGTTGTACAAACACACCAATTCTTCGGCATTCGATTTGCGCAAATCTACTACAGCATATTACTTCGAAGGGAATGTTTCGGGCACCATCTATGGAACCTATGTTTCCGATGAAGAAGTAGTAGTAGAAGAAGACGATGACGACGACGACGTCTGAGAGCGACGAAGGAACAAGAACTTTTGAATATATAATAACGTTACTACTACATGGGATGCGCGTTTAAATGACGGTATGAAACCAGTTCGCGACGAAGGCTAACTATTTGAAACCACCTTGCTGAACTCGTCAACCGTGCGCCGTGTGGTAGGGGGCCACGTAATGGAAATATGGAATAGGTGTATATACACACAATAAACTCACGTGCTTCTTTAATTACTGAATTGATGTCTCACTCTACAACTTTACCTCTCCTTCACTTACTTCTTACTTCCTCCTTCGTACAATCACTGCTGATGACTGATAACCGGAAAAGACGGACGAATTAAGCGCGCCGATAGGGAAAAAAAACGGTTTCCTATTTCAATACAACATACATATTAAAACTGTATATTTAATTTAAACATTGTTACATACATAAACGGATGTTTAATAAATAAACATTGCTTTCTAAGCAAAATTATATTGTTATCAACACTCAAACACTTACTTTGTTCAAAGATTTGTTGGAAAAGTCCAATTTTTTAATAACAATATTTCAATTAACATTTTGGTTTAAATTTAATTAATTTCATCTACAAGTAATAAATTCTATTCATTTATTTGTTTAATTGTATACAAAATGCACGTAACTAAGTTTCTATGTTCTTAACTTTATAAGTCAGGCTTCAAAGAGTCTGGGAACCGATTAACCGCACTATGCGAGGCAATTTGTTGTACAAATTATACATTAAAAAGCTTCAATTTATATTATATAAGTCAGTATTTTATTTTTAGAATCACATCACATATTTTAAAAACACTGAACTTGTGTGTGTGTTACTTATTACTAAATTATGTTTTGCATATGCATAATATTATTATTGTATGTGTTTCTTGTTATTCTCCCCACTAATATCAATTGATCCATACAATACAGCTTACATCGCAAAACGTAGTATTAGTAATGCAATAACAAGACGAAAAATGTGTAACATCACAGAAGAAAATATATTAATTAGAATTCCATTCCAACAATCGATTATGTGCAGAAAATGTAATTATTTACATTGGATAGATTAAATTAAATTAAAAATCTAGCGTGAAGAAAAACATAGATTTTGACTACGGTAAATTCCGTTTCGCTTGAGTAGTTTTATTATTTGAGTAGTTAATTTATGTTACTAGCAAATTATGTTACTAAATTTATCTCACTTATTCAATTAATAAATTCCCAACTAAACATTTCATGTATAAAATTACAATTTTGATATTCAATAGTTTAAAAAGTTTTAAAATATTGTAATTATTTTCTTTTTCAGACTTTACTGGATTATGTTATAATGTAACGGTTATAGAGGAACTGAAAATAGCTGCAATGATGTAATATTTCTTTTAAATTTAATTTTAAAATTCCTGAGGAATGTTGCGGAAATTTTAAATTTGTAACAGCCAATACCATAAATTTTAATTAAAATTCCTTCCTGCTGAAATCGAATATAGCTGAAAGCATCGATTGATTGTGTAACGTTTCAGTATTCACATTTTTTGCACATAATCAAGTAAAATCTCTCATAAAGCGTATTCGATTAGTCCGGTTTCAAACAGTACGGAACCCGTATTCTGCGAGGAATTGCTTGAATACATTTATGTAATAAATTTAATTAAGGATGTAAAGATGAATTATTCCTAAAATCAAAAGTAATGAAACTATAGTTTTTATGAAACAATTTCGATTTAGTATTGGTATATAAATTTATCGATTATCTAAAAGCATACATTTATAAATTATGCCTTGTTTATATAGAAAGATAAGACAAAAATTGAATAAGTAAATAAATATTAAAAGAATGACACACCTCCAGATTAATTATAAGATATATATGCTTACATTTCGATAATATTAAAACGGATGATGATGATATAACTGGAAACGTCTCTATTTTCTTAATATACAAACACAAATATATAAAAATAAGTTCAAAATCGCCGCCGCAAACAAAATTGCAACACATAAATTAGTTGGAAATATCCGTGAAACTCGAAATAACCTACGGGAAGAGATGGGAGACAGACAGAAATACTCAAAGCCAGGAGCTTCTTTCGAAGATTTCGCAGATTCAACTTTATTTTTCTTCTCCGTCGATGTCTGGCCTGACCTTGAAGAGATGCTCGATCTCTTCGCAGAGGGTGCTCAAAAAAAAAAATTAAAAAAATAAAAAGGCCCCGAAAAATCCGCTTAGCGAATACTGGGTTAGGGGTTATATAAAAAGAGCGTGGAAAGAAAACCTGTTTATCAAATAAACCGAAAAAAAACAACGAAACGAAAATAAGAATGTTGCGGTTCCTCCGCCGAAGCCGTCTTTCCACAATGTAATATTCTAAGCATATAAAAGCTCGAAGAATGTGAAAAGTTTATATAAGGTTTTTTTTCTCTTTCCGAATATTTTTCTAAATAATGTTTTATAATATTATTAATAATAACAATAACATTTAGGAAAGCTTAAAAAATAAGTTTAAAACGGACTGATTGAGGAAATGTTGAATTATTTCGACATGTACTTTCTGTATACGTTTATGTTAAAGTCTATTAAATGTGTTAACTTCCACAGCTTAAATAAAAGGAAATAGAACGTAATAGCAAACAAACGTTTAAACTGTTTAAAAGGACCAGAACAACAAACACAACAATCATGCAATTTAACTCAAACGCACTTAAGCAACAGTATTAAATCCGTATTTTTTTGTTTGTGTTTCTGCTGTTGTTGTTGTTATTTTATTTTCACGAACTTAACTAAAGTATTCTCTCAGCTTACTTTCAATGGTATATATTATGTACCGTTCTTTCCTACGCTTTTACTCTGCGAACGTTTTGTTCGGAGCCATAGCTATGTGAAAGACAAAACGAAATGGTAGGATGGAAGGAAGATGAAGAGAAGAGAAAAAAAGAAAAAAACAACCGTTTGGTTATAGCCTTGAATATGCAAGTCGTTGACCGCATTTCGTCAAAGAAAAGCTGTGTGGACTTTCACGTTCTCATCTATTCACAGTTTGAAACAGAATCTTCCTCTCTTCACAATGTAATGTAGCAACGAAAAAGCCTTCATCTTTGTTCGCTCGTCTTGAGCGCATGCAGCACCGTGCACTTGTTTCATATTAATTCAAAAGTTATTTGCATTTTATGGAGAAATAAAGAATATAATAAGGCTTTCCCGCTATTCTCTATACATTCAGGAAGTGCAATGCTGCTCAATAAAATATAGTAATTACTCTGTAACGCATTTTCATGATTTATGCACTATTTTAATTGCTGCACATTAAAGCAGCTACATTAAAGGAAATCTTAAATAATTATTATTACGCTACAAATTACGGTAATTTGAATAAATTTGACGAAAATAATGATTTGAAGTAACATTTGAAGATGCATTTTTTCCTATGCCTAGGAAACAAGAAATATGGTACGCTTGGGAATTGTCTGTTCCCATTTATGTTCGATGCAGCATCATTCATAGCTCTCTAATATTCAAATAAAATGCTATTTAAAGGTCACAGGGCACACGTACGTACATTTACGTACGTTACATAACCGGTCAATTAGGTTTTTATGAAACAAATGGGAACTCAATGCTAAAAATTAAGTCGCCGATGATTCATTAGCTAATTGAAACAATTCCGATCCGTAATTAAATTACGCTCAACTAAATCGTAATACGCAACGACATAGTTTGAGGAAATTGCCGAATCGGAAATAATTAAGGACATAATTAACATTCGGTTTTCATTAAATGCACCGGCCCAGATGCAACACCCACGAGTTTAAGTATATCCGTGGTTATGCATGACCTACTTTTATTACTATGGTACTATTAGATTAAATAAGTATGCAACCAAATGAGCGAATAAACAATAAGAAAACAATGCATTTTGTTGCTTGATCATTTTTGTTTGGTTTTACAAAATTTAATTAATTAATTAATTTTCTTTATGTGAAACACTATAGTTTTTGACTGACATTATTATAATGTTTACTTTTCACACAAATTAACACTTTGGTAGCCACGAGACTAAGTTTATAAATCCTGATGGCATTTGCTTTCACATGACCTACTGCTTTATATTTTTATTTGACAAAAATATAAAAAAAAAATACTGGAAGAATGAAGAGTATAATAGCTTATACAAATAGTTGTATATATGTACTAACAACCATAGTTTAAAATGTTAATCTTAAGTATCTTCATAATATTTGTAACAAAATAAATGTTTGTGTATGCAAATAAAGTTATTTTTGAATTTTTGAATTTAATTTCTTAGTGTGCTAAGCCAACTATGTATACCAGTTTGTGGTACAAAGATAAAAAAGTTAAAGGTACTTTGATATGTCTTTATATAATTCGTTGATCTATAATGTAGGAATTTCGTTTTTTGGATTCGAAACTTGGGCGAAACAATAATTATGCATAGCATACTTTGTAATGGGAAGATGTAATCTATTTAGTTTTTCACAATAAAAATGTTAAAGATATCATAGATATCTATGAGATGTCTCAGTTACAATTGGTTGCTATGTGATTTGAAATTCTATTCGATGAACATCATTTGATGTTAACATTTTCTAGTGGAACAACTCATCGAAACACATATTGACATTAATCATATTATTTAATTGGAAATTAATTGCAATTAGAAAACTAACATTTTATTAATAAATTATTGATGTTTATCAATTGATCCACAGTAGGTAATTTTTATGTTTTTAAATTTTTTTGAATTTAAACATCAGTTGGCATCACCTACTTCGGTTCGCGGAGAGGTAGATCAGGCACAGTTTTTTTGTTCGATGCGTCGGCGTGTGCAAAATTGTTGTGCAACTAGTTTAAATTCGATGAACTGTGCTGTGTTTTAAGAAAACCATCAACGGAGATCACAAACCAATTAGATTTAGCGGCAATTAAAGGTTAGTGGCGAATCTGGCTCTAATATTCTGTAATAACTCTTAATTGAGAAATTCGCGTTAATTAATTAGAAATTTGGATATATAGAAAATGGCGGAATGACGCTTTCCTCTCGCCACTTTTTTTTTTGTTTATTGTTAATAACAACGCATTTTTATTGCAAAAATAAAAGACATGCTAGAGACCGGTTGATACGATCGTTTCTACGACATAGTTGTACGCATCCCTTTCTTAAGTCAACATCATTCCAATTAGATTTGCGCGATAATTAATGTAATT